TGATCCACCAAAGAAAGACAGAAAGGGAAAGCATGCAAAGCCAACAATATCAAAGAAGTTTCCATGTTCTATAGATGTGTCAGCAGGAAAGACATGATTTGAAACATCAGTGTGTTTTCCAAAGTGCAAAATGCCAAAAGTAAAAACGTTTCTTGTGTGCACTGGCCTTTAGAAATCAAAGTTCAGTCAATGAATACCTCTGAGGCAAAATTTAGATTGCTCCCATTGTTAAGGTGACCAACCGTCCTCCTTTAGGGAGGACAGTCCTCCTTTTGTAAGGTCTGTCCTCCCTCAAAAAGTGTCCTCCTACATGTCCTCCTTTTTGATATTTGAAGACTAATCTGTAGGGCTTTTTTTCCTCATAGAACACTCAGAACAGTGTTCTGACATCTTTTTTTGATGGTTTTTTTTCAACTTTTGCATGAGCTGTGCTACTCCCCCTATTGGCTTTCGAAAGCCAATAGTAATTGCTGCTGAGTGCGCCAAAACACCCGGCAGGCAAACTTTGCACATGCAAGTTGTCTGCAGCGAAGGCGAATTGGCAGGAACTTTGCACCCCTCCCTGCTACCCAACTATACCACCTCCTAGTTAGTTTCGAAGATACCTGGAGGAGACTGGAGCGGTAAGTTTCTCTTGATCTTCGGCTCTGCTAGGGCAATAATGGGTGCGGGCTCAAGAGGCAGGGGCGGTGGGGGTGCTGCGGGCAGAGATGTGAGGGGCAGCAGCGGCTGGCTGCCCCCCGTGTGTGGGAGTCGCAGGCCCATCTCTATACGGGGCTGCGCAGGGTGGGCGGTGGTGCTGCCGGGGGAGCTGCAAACAGGGTCTGTCAACAGCAGGCTGCCCCCCGGGGCTGAAGCCGGCTAGTGCTTTGGGAGCCTGCTCTACACGGTGGGGCAGCAGTGCTGGCGGGGTGGCTGCAGGCAGGGGCGCGGCGGGCGATTGACCTTCTATGGTCCGGACCAACTTTTACGATATTTTTTTTTCAATTTATTTGTGTCCTCCTTTTCATTGTAAAAAAGTTGGTCACCTTACCATTGTAAATGTCATTGCAATCAGGCTTGGGCAATGTTGACCAAAGCATGAGAAATGCAACCAATCATTGTCAACTGACCAGGATTTGAAATAAAGACGTGCCAAGGTCATGCATCCCAACCTAAGCAAAATTACATCTCTCAAGTTTAGTTCCACACAGCTTCTCATTTTTCAGACTCAGGTTTTGTTCCAATTCTGCACTGCTTTGAGTATTTTTTAAAAAGTCTGCCATGAACAATTATACTCATTTTCATCTACTTTGCATACTTCTCCTTTGATCCTCCCAGAACTTATATACTTATCAACACATTAGCTGGACTCAAAAGAGCAGCGCAATTTCCATTGAATTCCCAATCTTCCCTTTTTAGGGAAAGTTGTAGAGAATATGATCAACTTGCAGTTCTCAAGGGTCTTGGAGAAAGCAGATTATCTGGATCTTGGTGATTCAGACCTTATTATAGTACTGAGATACTGCTGACCTACATCTCTAGGAAATTTGGCAGTCGTGAGATGAAGGCATCTGCAATGGTGATGTGGGAATGATCTTAGGAAGCAGAAAAAAGAGCCACTGACTATATAACAATCAGATAAGAGGCAACTGAGCACACAGAAGGAATGGGGCCATGGCAAACATATAAAAAATGAGAGAAGTCTGCTTGTATAGGGCGGAGGGATTGCCTAAAGGCCAGATAGACTGGTGTGGGCCCTCTTGGGATTTGGGACCCCACTAATACTCTAGGCCCGTGATGGTGAACCTATGGCACATGTGCCATAGGTGGCATGCAGAGCCCTCTCTGTGGGCACGCGCCGTCACCCCAGTCCTAGGCCTTCAGCTGAATTTTATAAAACCTTTTCGCTTTAGGGTTAAAAAAAAAGATCTCGCAAAGTTGGAATTGATTGATTGAACTTTTTAGTCCCACCCAGTCTAGCATTACCACTGCAGTCACGCCCACCCAATGGACAATGCCCACCCAATTGGCCACACCCACCCAATGGGCCACACCCACCCAATGGGCCATGCCCACCCAGCACCTGATCATACATAAGTGGGTTTTGGGTTGCAGTTTGGGCACTCGATCTCTAAAAGGTTTGCCATCACTGCTCAAGGCCAAGCTATTAGATGTAAACAGCTTATCGGAAGCCTCTTAATGAACAAAACTGAACTTAAGAAACATGTGTCTTGACATGTTTCTGTCTGGTCTATTGGCAAAGCTGAGAAAAGTCAGAAGACTACTCTTAAATACGCAACACTCCTCATTCCTATCAGACACTGTTTAAAGATTTAAAACCTATAACAATCCTTTTTGGAGTGCTAATTTCAAAATCTGTTTATCTCTCTTTTTTTTCTTTCCTTTTATTTCTATTTTTACCCAGGCTAAATTCCCTACAGTACATCTGTTACTATATTTTATAAATCAAAGGTTCATCAGAAATTATACAGACTAAATGATTTCTATCATTCCACAATTAATTTGGAGTTCAGAATTAATGAGTTTTAACTTGTTCAAAATGTGGTTGGCTATTTCAATTTCAGTTTTAGATCCCATCTTCCTAATTTAGAAATAAAAGGCTCATAAGTTTGAAGAACTGGCATTGAATCTTTTAGAGCCATCTAAAATTTTTGACTTATCTCCAAATTATATAATATTATCACAGAACAAACACATCCACATCCAAATGGTTTGAAAATGTCTTTGGAAAAAAAAATTCCAACAAAAAATTAAGAATTAAAAGTAGGATGAAATGTAGAGATGTAAACTAGGGTCATCATCCTTAGCCCAAATGAAAGAGAAATATATACTATTTCATATATAGTACAGGTAGTCTTGACTTATGACAACAAATGAACCCAAAATGTCAATGTTCGAAATGGAATGGTCACTAATATAAAATTTTCTAGAAATATCTGCTCAGACATATAAATTTAACTCCATTAATTGTAGGTTTAAAAGGGATTTGAAACTCATTTAGTTTGACATATTGAGATGATAATTTCCGAGGTGATTTTTTGGGGGGTGCTATTTTGAATAGTGTTCTCTTGTTTAAAGTGTTTTATATAAGGCTGTTTTTATGCGCATACTTTTGGATCATGATATAATGTTTTCATGATACCTGAACTGCATACCCCAAAGCTAAAACCTCCAACTGAAAAAGAATTAGTTCTTCACAAATTGGGGAGGATGAGAAACAATGGTTGGAAACTGATCAAAGAGAGAAGCAACCTGGAATTAAGGATAAACCTCCTGACAGTGAGGACAATCAACTAGTGGAACAGCTTACCCCCAGAAATCGTGGATGCTCCATCACTGGAAATTTTTAAGGAGAGACTGGACATTCACCTGTCTGAGATGGTATAGGTTCTCCTGCTTTAGCTGAGGGCTGGACTAGAAGACCTCCCAACTCTACTCTCCTCTCCTCTCCTCTCCTCTCCTCTCCTCTACTCTACTCTCCTCTACTCTACTCTAGCAAAGGCTTAAATAAGCCTTAAGGAGGGAAAGGGCTCCATCAGAACTAATGCTCTTTTTCAAGTACTGTGTATTCAACTTTTCTTTTTAAAAGTGAACACTTCATATTATCCTTATGTTTGTACTATTATCACTCCTCCTAACATATGTCTTTCCAGAGCTCCAACAAGTAAATTGAATTATCATGTGGACAGAAGTACAAGTAGATGTTCCAATCAGAGCTTCAGAAGTAACGGTAATAACTGAAATTCATGAGTCAATAATCCTTCTTAAATAGCAGTCAGTACTTCAAAGAACTGAGTTTCTTCATCTAGATTTTGTTGAAACTGCTCCAAGTGCTAACTAAGTGACCTTCCCTGTCAAAGCACTTTGGAAAGGAAATAAAACTAGTTACAATCATGACTACCATTCTCTTATTTATGCATTAATGAGCAGGAGAAATTACACTGAAGTCACCTGTTAACATTCCAAACCACATTACACACGAAGACAAATAATGGTTTAAAATCCCCACAAGGCAGGGAGTGGGGAAGGTCACAAATTAAAAACTGCCTATTTTCATTCCAGAATTTTTCATTTTCAAGAAAATACTATTTCTGATCTCACAACTTTGATAAGGAAAGAATAGTGTGCTTCTAAAATTATGCACAGGAAAACATCCTAAAGAAAACACCAAGCATGAAGGCACTTGGTGTCAGAAATACTACATATGGAACAATAACAGAGAATAAATGTGAACAGTTGCTGGAAAGATTGTTTGCCCTAAGTATAAGAAAAAGAATGGGCTACTAAAGTGAAGGTGATATAAGAAATGACAAACTAATCAACAATTCCAACTGCACTTAAGCTTCTGTTTTCTACTAAGCTCCTTGATTTCATCTACCACCATAAACCTGTTTTATTTTCCTATTTGTCCTATTCTGTATAGAAAACAACTATTTTAGCACTGGAAGTTTTTGAGACAATAGAAGCATGAAAAAATTATTGAGTGATCTTGAACTATGCAACAGAATATAGCTAGTCTAAATTATATTCTATTAAATATTGTTTGAAATTTGATTGGCCTCAAACCTGCTGGCCTTTAAAAAGACCTAAAAACTTCTTCACTTAAGTGCTAGCCCGCTGTAACTATACAAATAGTATTCTAATTTCCAATACAGTATGTTTTGTTTTGTTAGGATTTATTATTTTATCACTTTCCTTTGTATTTGGTGTTTTAAACTTATGTTATCCATTCAGAATCATCTAACAGCCATATAAATTGAATTAATGAGCAAATAAATAAGTCTGACATGCAAAGCATTAATTTATACAGCACAATTCTCATATGCTGTTTACAAGGTTGAAAGGGGAAAAAACCCATGAATGACAAACTGTATAAAACCTCTTGTTTCTTTTGAAAGATAAGAACACTGATAAATAACTGGAAGATATCTGGACTGACATCAGGGTTTGTCAACAATTCTTTGGGATTAAATATTAAATATTTCAAATAATCTTACTTTTGACGGTAGCTGTCCGGGTGCAGTTGTATAGGATAGCCAGTTCTCCAAACACCTTCCCAGGCCCCATAGTACACAGCTTTACTCCTTCTTTTGTAACCTCAACCTTTCCATCTGTCAACAAAGAACAGAGACTATCAGATCTTCCATATGTTTTTCTTTATGAAAGCAAAAAGTTCCTATGACATCTAGAAATAAACATTTCACTACGGAGGCACTGCTGTATTTAAGAGGTGTATCATCCATATTACGTATAGCTATCTCAGAAATGAATTTAAAATGGCATATTCATAGATTGGACACCTTTTGCTGCAAGTAGCATTAAACAATAGTAAAACATACCAACTGTTATGAGATTGGGTAGGAACTGTAATATAAAATTTTGAAAGGAATGTTTTATTCATTTTCAAGAAATATGAAAAGGGATATTATCAAAACAAAATGTTTTTCACTGCCTTTAAACAACTTACATTTTAGAGTATATTTGCATTCTGCAATATGTTAGCTTTCTTAAAGCTGACATCGTCAGGGTTAATGCTGGTCTATGGGAGATCTCCTTTATAGGCAAACCGCCGTTTGCACCTGGCTCCTGGACCTTGTCACAGGTCCTAATTGGTTTGACTACGTTCTAATTATGGCTTTCGCATCGATGACTCCTCTTTTCTTGCCTCCCCCGCCTGTGTGTGACTTGGGGGGAAGGTCCTCTTTGATGCAGTTGTGCAAGAACGCTAGTTTGCAGTAATTAGTTGAGATGCGGTGTGCAAACCTCTCCCATTTCCTCGCCATGAGCAATACTGCTCTGTCATAGTTATCGATAATAACATTAAAAATAAAAGCGTGATTCCTGGGTAAATTCATCTTCTAAGTAATCAGTAGTATTCTGGAATGTATAGCTCCATGGACCGTATAGCTCTATGTAACCCTAACTAGAGAGCAGGTACCAGCATATTAGAATATCTGGCAGTTATTGGGTTAAATGCTAGGTATGTTGATGGGTCAGTGGGAGGAGTCTCAAAGGTCATTGGGAGACTTCCTGGACACAAGCCAGATGGGATCCTTTGTTCACCAGCCTCATGGCTCCTAGCCACACGGCTTGGAGATCCTTGCCAACATGTGACGCTCAGGAAGAGAAGAGGGGAAAATCCAATATTAATTTACCTGTGGAATAATCAATATTGCAAACATACTTCTGGATGCAGCTCTACATAAATGTGAGTTATTGTTTAGAATTCCCAGAATAAAGCAATATTTCTGTTTATTCTTCTGAGTTATCTATCTGTTTGTATTGGATGGAAAGCAGTCTGTTCAGTTTGGAACAGAATAAGTAGTGAAAACCAGGAATATTATAAACTAAAAAAGTTTAACACCATCACCAATCACCAAGCTTTCGTCAGAGACTTCTGACATCATCAAGGTTAATGCTGGTCTATGGGAAATCTCCTTTATAGGCAAAGCACTCCTGTGTTAGCAAGAGTGAAGTTAGAGGGGCAGGGGACAGAATGTTGTTTACAAAATTGAAAATCTTTTGTGAGGCTTTTTAAAGCTTCAGAAAAAGAGATGTGGTACACTAACTGTTATGTGGTACACTAACTGTTATGCTTCAGCAGGCTCAGAAATGTTGCAAAGGGTCCCGGGCAGTCCCAAAGCTGCCCGGGACCAGACTGGCTGTCTCCAGCCTTGCGCACATGCGCAAGGCGGGAGACAGCCTCTGCAATCATTGGTTGACATTGTCTGGGTCTGGGACATTATAAAAGGCCTGCGTGCTGTTTTGGTTGTTGTTGGTAGTAAGAAGAGAGTAATAAAAGAAGCTTGTTTACACAATGTGTCTCCGCTTAATGCCTCTACCCTGCAAACATAAAACTGGCGACAAAGGTGGGATCACTGAAGGCAAGAGGAAGATCTACCAAAGAATTTAGAACTCACAGAAGGTCCTGAAGTCTAGGAAGTCGGCGTCCAGCATAGCCTGCCAGTACAGAATTGCTGGAGGTGAGCTCCCAAGACAAGGCTTGCAGCAAAGGCATTAATGAGATTTATGATGACTTAAGATGTCTAAGATTGGCCGGTTATCTGCAAACATAAAACTAACTATCTACAGTGAAATTCAACAAACTCTGTTGTAGGCACTCAAGTTGAAATATGGTTTAAAGCTGATATTAGGATTAATCTAAAACCATAATGTACTTGAACAATAGATACAGCTAAAAAAACCCTAACTTTCAGAATATGATCAAAAGGCATCCAGGCTTCTGGTTTGCGATCGCAGCACTGGTGGACGTGCGGGTTGACTGCTCTCTCCGCCGTCCAGTTTTCTCCTGCCATGGGACCCTGAAGAGGGTTGGAAGTCATCCTGTAGGGGTGACGAACATGAAGAGGACCCCTGAGTAATCGCGGAAGGGTGGCAGCCCTCCTGTTTAATCCGGGGCAGCTCTTCAAACTGACAGGGAAAAGATTGGCCATCAACATGACCCATCATTAAGCTGCTGACAGCTGAGGCCAAATTCACTAACAAGCACCTTGAAAGCAACATGGAGGAATTGGGTGAGATTTTACCTTCTCTGTATCCCAAGTATTTTTCCTATTAAAAGCTTCCTGAAAACTTTTCCCCAGCGAGGAGAGAGGGAAGGGAATTTTTCCTCCCACCCTCTAAAATGGCGGCGTCTGACTACTTGGGGAAACAAAGCACTGAAAAGTACAATTTAATATAATTGGACTTACCCCCAAAAAATTCCTACTCTCATGGGGACTTTCTGTTTTATTTACTTGTAAAAAAGAAGAAAAAGAACTTAAACTGGATAAAACCTAGCCTGGGAACTGAAAAAGACTTTAAATGCTATCGGTGACATCTTGTGGGGAAGCTTGGTACAGCAATCTATTACTTTTGACAAAGAGACTTGCTCATAGCCCAGATCTGACCTTGGTATTATCTAAGAGAGATTAAAAGCTGAGAGAGCAGCTGGGCAGTGAAAGTAATTTTTAGGAATTGTGGAGATGAACACTTACTGACTTGTTTAATAAATAGTCTTCACTAAAAGACCATCTATAACCATGTCAGAAATGGAGGAGGAGGAGCAAACAACTTCGGCTATGTTTAAACTTATACTTGAAGCCACCAAGATAATCAAATCTAGACTGAAAGACAAAGGTGCCAGCTTAAATCTACAAAGCGAAACCCTGATTGCAACTAAAGAACCTACAATTAAAAAAAAAACAGAAGTGAAGGAAATTAATGACAAGACAGAGGGCCCTAAAGATCAACAAGTACAGTTCACTGAAAATCCTGGTAATGAAACAACTTTAAAAATGGAAATGACTTTCTACGCAAATCAGAAGAAACCTGAGAAACAAGAAGACCAGTTTGAATGGAAGACAACTATACCAGAGCAAATATGGGGATCTGGGCCATCAGGGCAACAACTTAATGATTATAGATGGGCCAGTTCTTCCAGAAAATTGGCAACTAAATGTTCTCCTTCAATTCAAGTAACATACACAAGAATGAAGGGAGATCTATTTGATGATTTAAAGGCATTGGTGTGGAAGCCTGGTTGGCATAAGAAAAAAAGCTAGAATTAGGTTGAAAAACTGGGGTCTTTTGATTTATTAGAGAGTATTCTAAATTGCCAACTAGTGGGCTAAGGAGAGACTTTGAGACAAGGAAAAATTAGACTTAAAATAATTGGAAAATAGTAGGAAACTAACTGTTAGGAAATAGGTTTGAACTACTGATTAACCCAGATAATATAGATGATGGACTTGAGCTAACAAAGGATACTCAATTATTAAGGTGGATGTACTAGGGTGAGAAATAGAAAACGTTTACACAATAGAATAAGAATATATTTAAGTAAGTAATATGTGCATTTTAGATATTATAATTTTTACAAAGTGAGACAAAGGAAATTTGGGTTACCTGAAACTGAAATACTATGGATATTACAGATTAAATTGGAGTATGGTAATTAAAAACCAAAAATTAGGTAAAATTTAATAACAGGATATGAATTGTTTATGAAGATTTATTAAGATATGTATAAGCAAAAATGTATTAATAAATGTGATAATGAAGTTTTCACTGAATTTAATATAATTAGAAATTTATTAGCTTAAATACGATATAGCAAATGTTAAGGGAATCAGAGAAGAAGTATTTGATGATGTAACCTGACATATGTACTAAAGACTTTGTTATTGAACTATTGATTAACCCAATCACCACGTTGCCTTCCAAATACTCAAATGTAAAACTGGAAAACCAATAAAATATTATTTAAAAAAAGGCATTCTGACAAAGTGAAAAATCTGTTATAAACTATAACCTTCAGGGTTATTGATTTCTTTAAAGAAATACTGTAATCTGCAATAGTAGATTTCTTCTTTACGGCTACTTTGTATTTCTTATGAACATTTGAAAGAACTTCCCATCAACTCTGACCACATCTCCCTGCCAAGAGCAATAATTATCAACAGTTTCCAAAAGATTTCCACAATATCTGCCATGGTGTGATACTGGCAACTTTTTCATACAAAGAATATGATTTACCACGCAGCTAAACCTCTTTTCCAGTTGATAAATGGATATGGCTGAGATGTATAAAATGCAATGTAATTAAAGACAAATGAATGGTACTGTAATAAATTAAACTTTAACTGTGCATGCAGTTAAAATCAACTGATAGCAATGTGACAAATATTTTGATCAAGGACATCACTAGTAGTTAAAATACTACTGAGTCAGAAAAATTAATTGGAATTATTGTTATGCATGTTTTGATAGATTTTACATCATTTTAACAGATGTATTCTTTTGTAACAAATATAACAACAAAGGCAATTTTCTTTTTTCCCCCAGTGATCTCCAATGTAGAATTTATTTTTGTCCTTTGAGTCAGAGACTTAGTTACTCTTCCTAAAATCATTTTTGTCTTCCTGTACTCAGAGTTTGAGCTCAGTTGATAATTTCCTAGATAATGTGTATTTATACACATCAGTGTTCAGTAAGGTGACCAACTTTTTTACAATGAAAAGGAGGACACAAATAAATTGAAGAAGAAAAAATATCATAAAAGCTGGCCCGGACCATGGAAGGTCAACCGCCCGCCGCGCCCCTATCTGCA